GTTTAGAATAACTGATGTATTAAATAATAAATTAATCAAAATAAAAAGTAGTAGCTAATATCAGTGCTATAGGAGTTCCATCATTATAATGTAGTCATGACAACCATGGATTATTAAAAAATAATAATAAAAGCTGGATTGAATTAAAATTATTATTTTTTTTTTTTCTTTTTAATATTGACTAGTTTCTGGGCTGAATAGTTTGAAAGCCTTTACACACGGCTGCAGGTGCAGAGTCCTTTTAAATCCACTAAAGCTTACCGTACATTTATAGCTACACACAGGGCTAATTTGTATTAACGTAATAATATTTCTTTAAACTTTTATTAAAAAATTCCTTTACACTGCTACAATCCGACATTTTCTTGTTTGTGACAAAGTTTTTCTGCTTCGTTTTGTTGCAGTAACCGGAGTAAAGTGGCGTTCGCTGACTGGGCGAGACACGATGACGCTCAAGATCACTTCTGTGAGCTGGACGGTAAGGTTTTCATCTGATCCTAGATCAGCTTCACGACCAGGACACGTTCTTCTATTGGAAACAAAACGCAGCGTAACGAGCCAACCTCCAGAGAAGAACCAGGACGTCGTGATTCTTGTAGTAAAAACAAGACAACGTTGAACTGTTTGATTTTCAGAATGACGTTACATTGATCTGATGATTGAGATTATAGAGATCATTTACTTGGAATATATTTTAAGATTAAAAGTAGTAAGACATAATGATTAACTTTAAGTTTTGGAGTCAACCCAGTTCAACATGGCTGCCACAGCTGGCTTCACTATAATACGACAGTGGTGTGGTAGTAGCCGGGTCATGCTCTGCATGCAGGTTCACACAAGACATTACCTGAGATTACAGATCGTCACCTTCCTAAAACAATCACCCGAGTATTTTTATTTCATTGAATCATTTCCTCGTGATGCTGGTCACCTGCGCTAACACGGCCTCCTCTCAGTCAGATCTTTGATTTTACTCCTTTAACTTAATGGTCTCTGAGCATCTGAAGCTGATTTATTGTGCCCAACTCCAATAAGTGAAATCATCAATAAATTGTTTAAATTTTTAGTTTTTAAGTTTTTCGTGTTTCCTGAATAACTTGAAAAAACGAGTTGGATGATTATTTTACGTGTCAGTTTGTTGTTGATGAGCTCTGTCCTCTCCGAACACCATGTGACGTACTTTAAAGTCTGCTGTGAAAGGCAGCAGGCAGTTCGTGTTCCTTCAGTGACTGTGTGTGCGTGCATGTGTGCGTGCGTGCATGCGTGCGTGCGTGTGTTTCAGACGAGACCTCTCCAGATGCTGAGTATGTGGACTTGCTGCTGAATCCAGAGCGATTCACTGGATATAAGGGTCCTTCTGCCTGGAGAGTGTGGAACAGCATCTATGAGGAAAACTGCTTCAAGTGAGATCATCTGCACGCACACACACATGCACACACACATGCACACTCACACGCACACACATGAGTTCATTTTGACAAATAAACAGTTCATAGTGGGAGGAAGTTCAGTGTTTTGCAGACAGTGTTGGACACAAAGAGCAGAGCCCGAGCAGTTGAGCGGCTGCTCAGAAGTTAGACATGTCGTTGTGGAGTGGCCTCAGCAGGACCAGGTCCACACGAGCTCTAGATGAAACGGACCTCACTGGTCCGCTGTTTTCATGTCATTAGGATCCATAAATCTTTGAGAATAACAGAAACCGTCCAGATTTTTTAACAAAACGTTAAAAGATGTTGGACTTTTCGTGTTTCACGATTAGTCTGATCTGTTTGGTTTTATTTTTAACATTCTGTAAAGCAAACTGAAAATATTTCTGTAATAAATAAATACCGTTTAGGATCTCTTTAGTTTTCTGTTCGAGTGGAATTGATCTGAATGTAAATGAATGATTTCTTGCTGTTTGTTTTTGTGTTAACAGGCCCAGATCGGTGTACCGACCTCTGAACCCTCTGGCTCCGAGCCGAGGTGAGTCCAAACTGTTTGTTTGTTTGTTGTCATGGCAGTAAACAAAGCAACAGGAAGAATCACTTTTGGTTTCAGCAACTTTAAAAGATCAACTTAACAAAATATTCATCCCTTTGTTCATTTTTAAAATTTTTTGCTTTTCAACCTGGAATTTATTTGGATTTTTACAATAAAATTTTATTGATTAAACGCTTAAAAACAACACTGTTGGCCAAAGTGTTGCAAACCAATAAAAGAACAAGAATTCAAAACACAATATCCAAAAAAACAAAAAGTAATTCCATAATTTCCAGACTTTTGAGCACACTAAATAAAAAATTACAGTAATTTTGTTTGTCTTCTTCTGTCTCGCTGTGTGTTTAGGAGATGATGATGGTGAGTAAAATGCAACGATCTAAACATATATGTTTTTATTTGTGTTGGAAAAACAATTTAAACTTTCTGTTTCCTGTTTGTATCTCATTTTGTAGGCGAGGGCTTCTACAAGTGGCTCGAAGGCGAGTTCCACCTCATATTTCTGCTTTTCTACCCACAGATGATAATTCATAATTACTGTGGCCAAAAGAACATTACTCTAGAAAATATTTTCTGATGTGTTCATTTTTGCTACAAGACCAATAAATTGGCTATTTGTAATGTTTTTTATTTATCAGCTACAACACTGTTAAAAATATTTTATTGTAACATTTTCCAAAAGACCTGTTTTGTGTTTTAACCTGTGTGAACTTCTCTCACTGTCCAGGTTTGTGTTTGGAGAAAAGAGTTTTCTACCGACTCATTTCAGGCCTGCACAGCAGCATCAACATCCACCTGTGTGCCGAGTACCTGCTGGACGGTAAGGTCCTCACCTGGGCTCAGAACCATTTGGTTTTTATGACTACAGAGCTCATTCATCACAGTGGATCTCAGCCTAAACTCTAATCCAGGGGTTCCCAACCCCGGTCCCTGAGGAACACCTTCCTGCATGTTTTAGTTCTTCCTCTGCTCCAACACACCTGATGTGAATGAAAGATGATTGACAGGCTTCTGCCAAACTTAAGGAAGTAATTAAACCACTGAATGAGGTGTGTTGGAGCAGAGAAACAACTGAAACATGCAGGATGGTGTTCCTCAAGGACCAGGGTTGGGAACCACTGCAGTCTAATCTAACATCACCCATGAGCTCTCTAGTACCCCCATCCCCCATTTCCAGGACCACTGCTTTAGACCATGACATCCTCCCTCAACATTTCCTGTTTTACATTAAAGGAGGATTGAAAATTAATTCATTGGATCGGTATCGATAAGTAAATCTTTTATTTTAGGATGTAAATTCAATTTTTCTGTCTATAAACATAATTTTCTTGAATAAAAGTAGTCACACTTTTCACAAATCTACTGTTTAGAACACTGCAAAGCTTTCTGATAAAAAAAAAAGTAGGTTTGTCTTATTTTAATGTAACAACTATAGCACAACTAGAAAGTTCCTGGAGAAACTTTGATGGCGACTGCCACGTTGCGGCCATTTTAAAATTAAATTTAGCAGTACTGTGTGTTGGGGTTCGCTGATTGGGAATGTTCTCAGCCATAACCACACCAAATTTCAGCTCTGTGTGTAAAAATAACTGAGTTAAAACCACTTAAATTTAGCTTTGGTGGCCATCGTGGATTTTTTTCCCAGTATTTATTGGGCATTGCTCTCAGCTACGACCAAACCAAATTTCAGCTCAGTATCTCAAAGAATGACTGAGTTATAGTCAATTTTGAGTTTTCTGATTCGGCCATGGCTCCGAATGTTCAGAGGTCCCTCCTCTTCAGGTCATGTGAACTCACTGTGTCAGTTAGAGGCTGTTAAATAGTTCTGTCAGTGTTTTTCAATGAGAAAAATGGCGGCTTTGTTTGCGAATGGCGTCGCCATGGTTACTGGAAACACAAAAAACACACATCACGGTGCCGAGCTTGTCGTTTTGATAGAACATTAGTGGAGGGACACGTTGCGGATCGGGCTGCATTAAAGTTGTTAGAAGACCAAGGTATAAATAAGTAAAGTTAAGAAACCCTGGTCATGTGGATAATAATAAGTGTCTGCCTTATACAAGGCGCTCCCCAATAACCTGTACTTTGTCAGATCGTCATTAAAGCACATGGAGCTGTGGGTGTCATGACGTGAAGTCTCTTCCTGTCCTGCAGAGGGCTGGAGCCACACGGTGTGGGGTCCAAACATCCACGAGTTCCGTCAGCGCTTCGACACAGCCGAGACGAAGGGCGAGGGCACCCGTCGGCTGAAGAACCTCTACTTCTTGTATCTGATCGAACTGCGAGCTCTCTACAAGGTGGCTCCGTACTTCGAGCGAGCCATCGTCAGCCTGTACACCGGAAACTCCCCGGAGGACGGAGAGACCAAGGACCTGCTGCTGCAGATCTTCAACGAAATCAAGTAAGGAAACGACCGCCTGACGAGCTGAAGTGTAGTAGGACCCCACTGGGAGACGACCCCACTGCGACATTAAAGAATCATCCAGAACCTGGGTGGTCTCTGTTCTGGTGAGGTCTTCAGGTGTTTATTAGGGAACAAGGGCAGGAATTTTTAGGCACCTGACTGTTGGATTATAATCAGAGGTGACTATAAAACTATTATTGTTGCATCTCGATACGTCCACGTGTGTTCTCTGCATTTAACCATCACACCTGACATACACCCAGGTGGAGCAGTGGGCAGCCGCCTGGGGAAGTAATCACACTTCAAATACCTGAGCATAAAATCTGTCGGACCGAAAAGAAACAAAGTATTTCGTAAAACCTAAAATACGCCGACTCTTGTTGGCATCACTTGTTTCTTTTTCTTCCTTGAAGATGAAGTTTTTCTAAACCGTGGCTTTAAATTCAGAAGGTGCTGCTTGTTTGTCACATCTTTTTTATGTGCACGCCATAAACGGTTGTGGTTCTGCTCTCCCACACTTTAATTCAGTCGTCTCGGGACACTTTAGAGTTCTACATCTTACAGGACGCTGCAGGACATTAACATTATATATTACCGGTAATTCTTTTAAGAAGCAGAAGTGTTCTTGTCCGTATTGCATCTTTAAAACGGTTATAAGAACACAGTTGCACAACAAACTGTGCGCTCACGGCAGGTTTTTATCATGCACATTAGGAGCGTGTTGGTTTCTTATCATGATGGTAGCGTGTTCAGGTCTTGTGGAGCGTTTCAAGTTATTGCAACGCGTGTCTGCGCAGCTGCTACCTGCCACCGCTCCCGCTGCAACCACCAGGACTGTGCTGCGCTGTCACTTCACAGCTGCAGTGATTCGTTCATGCCTCCACCATAATGAAACCGGTGCCGTGCTCGGCAGTCGTTTATTAGATTTTTAGATGCAACAAGCAAGAAGCGCGTGTTGTCGTCATGATCAGGTCTGCCAGAAGAGAAAGGAAGATTAGTGGACGAGGTTCAGCTTAGAAAACGTTTTATTGCCTGCATCTTTTCAGGTGATGCCGTTTGCTCCTCCACAGCAAGTCAGAAACTGCTGCTGGAAGCTCAGAAACCTCCTGTAATAAAAATCTGCAGACCAAAGCAAGGAGATGGAAAACATCCCAGCACAGACTGGATACCAGTAGGTGGCAGCATGGTGCTAACAATGCATGGTCTTCTAACAGGGGTCTGCAACCTTTGCATTAAAAAGAGACATTTTGCCACTTGGCTCACTAGTTCCATGTCCGGAGCCACAAAACCTGCTACAACTGAGCACCGTCAACTGGTGACCCGTGCACCTCGACAAGTTTGTTGGACACGGCTTGTCTGGCCTGTGGGGGGTGATGGTATAAAACAAAAACTGTCTAATATTAATATTTATTGGTATTTTTACATTTTAATGCAAAAGAAAAGACCAGATTCATGTAAAGAAAGAAAAAATTATACAATTTTAACAATTTAATAAAAATTAAAACAGAACTCTGCAGGCCGATGCGAGTTCTCTTCATTGTTGAAGAATTAAGTATCCTACTTAAAGCATAAAGTTAAAGACAGAATAAAATTAGACCAGTTTGTTGGATATCTAATTACGTTTTTAAAGATAAATAATTTTGTTTACTTTAACTTTGTATTTTGTGTTTTATTCTTAGTGTTAGCAAAGTTACTCACCGTACTCCTTCTGAGCAGCTTGTCTTAAAGATCTTCCACAACATTCTGGTGGTTTTGAGACAAAGGTCACGTTGAGAGACTGGACTTAAAGTGGCTAACAAACTGCTAGCATGATGCAGTCCACATGTTTTACGCCTTGCATTTGTACCATCCTTCACGTATTGGACAATGACCAGAAATCTGCTAAAACTAGCCATTTTCATTGTTGGTAATAAATAAAATTCAGTTTTACACTGTCCCTGCAGTGCGTTCAATAAAAACACAAGAAGTCCTGGATATGCGTGGTAATGTTTATAGAGCGATCGTTTAAGTAATTATGAGGCCACCTTTTACCTTCCAGGTGATTTGGGCACAGACGTGACGCGCTCAATCTGTTTTTGTCTTTCAGAGCTTTCCCGATGCACTTTGATGAGAAGTCCATGTTTGCTGGACATAAATTGGAGGCGAAAACCTTAAAGGTAAAACGTGCAGTTCAACTAACATTTTTAAAACCGTTGCAATCAAAGTTTCCATTCACTCGTCGTATTACATGAATTTAAGGTTATTTAAACTTGTTTTTTCCAAGGTGGGACCTTTATACAACTTCCAACTTCAGTAGGTTTTAAAACCATTTTTTATATGAAATATCTCTAATCAACACAGCATCAGAATTATACATAGAGGCTTCCATCCTCTCCTTCTAATATTTGTTTAAATGTCCCTCAGCAAGTGGCACCTGGACTACAGGTGGCTAATTAATGATGTAAATGAGGTGTAAACTTGTTTTGTTCTCCCATTGTTCAACTCAAAACATACTCGCAGCCTAAAATAAGACAAAAGCATGTCGTGTTTATTGAGTCCCATTTTATTTTCTTAATTGCAAACTACTAAGTCTGAGCATTATAGAAATTTTGGCTATCGTCAATATCACTATTGGGCGAGGCCGACTGCCAATAACTAATATAATTGCAGATTTTTTTTTAGCTGTGTTCACCCCCAAGAATCTCAGTAAACAGCGAGTGGCTTGTTTATTTAGCGCAGCTGTTAGCAATCATGAAGCTAATCGGATCCACGCTGTAATTAGTCGTTTACAGCTGCTCATAAAACAGTCTCCCTAACGTGCATTCACATTCTGTCCTCCACTACTCACCATAAAGTTGTCAGAAGTGTTGCACAAATATAAATTAAACAAAGAAACGTCCTTCCTGTTCATCGTTTAAACAGTCAGTCACGTACGGTGAAGGTTTAATTAATATTGACCACAGCAGAGTCCATTTTTATTTCTTTGCAGAGAAGTCTGACAATCACTGCATTGTTTGAACAAACACTGAGGACGACAACGATAACGTTACTAACACGGATATATTTTACGTCTACGTTGGATTTATTGTTCTGGATAAAGTTGTACAAGGCCTGTGCTAACGGTTAGCTTGCTAACCTGAGAGGCACGTAGCTAATGACAAGCGGGTTGGAGGACTGAAAATAATTTATTATTGTGGATTTTTTAAATTTTACAGATCAGTTAAAATAAACTCACCATGCTCTGTTCAGTAAAATACTCTACACAGTGTTGCTCCCTGCTTCATCTGCGCTGAAAGTGAAACTTAAAGTGAATGGAAATGACTGAAAGTGCGCCCTCTGCTGGATACAGTGTACAATTACGGCTGGGTCCAGCATTTTAGGGGTGACTAATAGAAGTGCTTATATCGGCTGATAATTGAACTATTATCACCGATACTGATACGTTCCCAAACGTCTACATTGGTCGGGCTCTACTATAGAGCTAAAAATAGCCGTTAAATTCCTCCCTCATCTTTAGGGTGATTCAGTCGAACTAGTCTTTGGTAGATTGCTGCTCAGACGGCGTTCAGCCGTGGAGTTGAGAGACAACTTATTTTAAAAAGGGTTCAACTGTGCTGTATGTTATTCTGATAAGGAAACTGACGGATTAAAAACTTTGAATGACATCACACTTTAAACTCAAGGTATCCACGAGGTCATAAAACGTGTGATTAATCATTTCATGTTGCCGTTATCTCAGAGCTCATATGCAAATGTGTGAGACTCGTTGTGAGCTCTTTTTTTAATAGGTATCGAAGTTGATATTAAATTTAACAGATTTATAAATGTTTACTTCTGGGTTCATGAAGGCCAAGGTTTGTTTAACGAGAGGAAAAAGAATGTCTGGAGTTCAAACCTCTCGGCTCATTGTAGTCTCGTCATCTTCAGACTTTTATTTTGGCGTCTTTGACGTAATGATGTGTGGTGTTTAGATGGTTTTCATCTGCTCCACGTTTTTATATCAGGCACCCGTGATGTGGACCACAGGCTTTTTGTGTCCATCACTGAGCTTCTTGTTGTAAGTCTCGATGATGTTTGAGTACCGGTAATCTTCTCGGCAAAATTGGTCCAGTTCATTTAGATTGGTTGGTTTAAATATGATTTTTGATTAAATTGGAGACATTTTAATCATGTTGATGGTGGAGCACTCCAGAAGTTTAACGTTGACCTTTAAACCAGCCTTGATGTGTGTTTGGGATCATGGTCCTGGTCCTTCGTGCCACTGCACTGAACACAAATATAAACTCAACACTTTTCACTTTTCACGAGCTGAACTCAAAAGATCCAAGACTTTTTCCATGAACACGATGGATTCTCTCAAGTATTGTTCACGAATGTAAATCTGTGTTAGTGAGCACTTCTCCTTGGCAGAGATGATCCATCCACCTCACAGTTAGGCTGACCACAATAAAAGGCCACTGTAGAACGTGCACTTTTCCCACAGCACGATGCCACACGTGGTGCAGGTTTGGAGGCAGCGTGCCGTTTTCATGCTGACTGCAGGAATTCACCTTCTTCAGACAGCAATCTTATGATCCTGACACCCCCCCCCCCCCCTCATGTTTTCATTCAGGAGGAATTCCGGCTGCATTTTAAAAACATCTCTCGGATCATGGACTGTGTCGGCTGCAGTAAGTGTCG